TCTGGACACTTTATTTATTTATTTCATCTGTATCCTTCATTCTGTTAAAAACTTTTTTGAAAACAGGTTGTATGTCTGCTCCACACCAGAAGAGGGAGCTAAAGCTTCTTCTTTGAAGCCGCAGAGGACTTCCGGAACACTTCCTGTTTCCATCAGGTTTTCAAAAACAACTTTAGCAGCTGGTCAGCAGGTTCCAGCCCTGGACTCAGCAGATAAAAAAAAAAAAAGGAGAACAAATATAAAGGAACAAGTTTAGTTGCACGATTTCACACTGGCAGAACTAATTCATCCGCTGTGTACGCAGGAGCTGCTGAACTGTGTGTGATTTTCTGTTTTTGTGTATCTGCATATAGATGGAGAGCCGACAGCTGTCGCGGGCGGAGGCGTTGGCATGCACAGACTGCAGGCACGCTTGTCACGTGATGCTCTACTCTGACACAAAATCTCAGCTGTTCGGCAAAATCCCCATCAGGCACATAGTGCTGGTGAGCATCATCTCTCTGGCTTTATACGTCCATGTGTTTATAGAGGACAACTAATGCACAACCCAACGTAAAGTCCTCACGCACTATTCTGCTTGTGTAATGGAAATCACACATGTTTCTGTGTGTCTCCTTGACGCATCAGCATGCAGCAGTGTTTAAAACACAGTCTGTCACTTTCCACAGATGCAGATGCGCTTCGATGGTCTGCTGGGTTTCCCAGGCGGGTGAGTCCTATCATGGCGCCGCTCCGTCAGAGGTGGAGTGGTAATGTTTTTATCTGTCTGTAGTGTTATGGACAAAATCTCTCTCATCTCATAACCCACTTGATGAATTTGAACGTCACGCTCAGAAAGTAATCACTGTAGATTAGCTCTAAAATGGTTACTGAATCAAGTGTTTACTTCCATCCATCCACGGGGGGTAGCAGCCTAAGTAGGGAGGCCCAGACTTCCCTCACCCCAGCCACTTGGACCAGCTCCTCCAAGGTGTTCCAAGTGTTTACTTGTGTAGGTAAAACTAGATGTTAAACAACCATTAAAATACACCAGATGCAGGAAATGGCATCTACTTTATTCAAAATTACTAAACAAGTACACATATGGTGTCGTGTGGTGTTCAAAGTGCGTTCAACTTAATTCAGTCGATGATTTGTGCCAATGAGCATTTGGAGTTTTATACATAAAAATACACTTGATAGTTAGAATTTGAAGTATATTTACTGTATAATATGGTAATTTATTCTGTATTTTTGCCAGATTATGGTGATTCTTGGGTCGTGATGATGGGGCCCTTGAAGATTGTTGCCCAGGGTACAGCGAAGTGTTAATCTGGCCCTGGCTGTAACTTACACAAAATTACAGATAATGGGTTAAACTTTATATCATTGTAGCTCGAGTCTTTGTCAACACAACAAGAAGAAGTGGTAGCCATCTTAAATTAAAACCGTCATGAAGGCAGCGAGTGACATGCATCCCTGCAAGTAATGACTGACCTGTTATTTATAACTGTTTTGTGCAAAAGACCTGTAAAACGACAGTAATGGCACAGAAATAAAAAAATTACACCATAAATACTCCCACAGCAAAGATGAGCAGTGAAAGATAAGGAATCATAAATCCCTATTCTTTACTTTAAAGGACATTTCAACAGACCGTTTGTCCAACTCATTAATATTCTACTAAAGATGAATCATGTCCTCTTTTTCGACAGCCAGAATTTCTGGTGCATCATTCGCCACCACACTGAAATTATGCAACAAGGCAAAAGAAATCTGAAACGTACTTGTACCTCACGCAAAGCCAAAACTAAAAAATAAACCGCGTCGGCAAATTATAAGGGCGTATCCTCGTTTGTTACGCAAAGGAGAAGCAGCAATAATGTTCTTGTCTGCGTGTGTTCATTTGCCTGTAGCGTTAGCAAAATATTTCATGAAGCGTCAGACAGATTTTGATAAAACATCCAGAAATTAACTGATAGATTTATGTAAGTTTTGGAGTCAACTCCATTTAAATTAAATGGCTAAGCAACTTTACCAAGATCGAAAAAATAAACTCAGTCAATCGAGTTAAAATTTGGTGGAGTAATAGCTGAGAATTATTTTCTCCAATTCCTAAATGAACGTGTGGGATTTGTTACTAAAACTGAACTGATTTAAATGAAAGTATTTATTTCAAACAACCGTTGGTGACTTGGCTGCAAACATTCAGAGTTCAGTGAGGCTGCAACAAAAAAAAAAAATCATGTTTTCTTTCATTTTTCTCACAATTTATCATCTCCAACTAACCTCCCAGTGGTTGCAGCTCAGTGAGATACCACCTAAATGGCTTTTAATTTTAAAAGCCAAATGTTTTGTTGCAACTGATGGCGATGGTGCTTTTTAGCATTTGTAAACTGTGGGTTGCCTCAAGGTTCTGTACTTGGTCCTCTGTAGTAATTTTTCATGCTCCCTTTGGGAAGCTGATACAAAAGGTTCCCGAGGTTATACACGGGTTTACATTTCCATGGAATATCAGGGTCTTGCAGGCGTCAGTGAACTTTTACCTCCTTAGTTTTTGGAGCTGAATTAGAAACAGGAATTGAGAAAGCTTTTCTGATGAGAAGAGAAACGATTTCAAAACAAAATTAAAAAAAAAAAAGTAAAGTTGCCTTTTTTCAAATGATTTAAGTCCTGCATGACTTTGACTCTACATCTTTAACTCCTTGGATCATCTGATGAAAGCCTCCGTTGTTTAACTGAAAGCATAAGGGGATTTGCTGTTCTGGTGTCCAGACTGTAATATAGTCTTTCTCTGGAAACCTGAAAGAAAAGCTCTCTTGGCTGCTTTAAAGACAATTGAACATCCATCCATCAATCAATCCATCAATTAATCATCTCCCGCTTGTTTCAGAGTCAGGTCGTGGGGGCAGCAGCTCTTCTGGGAGGATTCCCAGGACCAGCCAAGAGACACTGTCTCTCCAGTGTGTCCTGGGTCTTCCCTGTAGTCTCCTTCCAGTTTAGGCCCCCCCTAGGGAGGCATCCAGTGTGTCTCCCCTACCAAATGTCCAAACCGCCTCAACTGGCTCCTCTCGATGAAGAGGAGCAGAAGCTGTACTCCAAATCTCTCCCGCATAACTGAACTTCTCACTGTGTCTCTAAGAGAGAGTCCAGCTACCCTGTGAAGGAACCCAGTTGGACTGCCTGTATCTTCATCTTGTTCTTTTGAACTCTACCCAGAGTTTGTGACCATAGGTGAGGAGAGGAAAGTATAGTTACCAGTAAACAGAGAGCTTGGCCTTGTAGCTCAACTCCGTCTTCACCACAACGGATCGGCACAGAGCACACAATACTGCGGAAGCTGCACCAGTCTGTATGTCAATCTCGCTCTGTTTTCCCTAATTATTAAAAAAACAAAAACTGAGATACTTGAACTTCTCTACTTGAGGCAGAACCTCGCTCTCGACCCAAAGAGTCCCTTTATCCACCCTTTACCGACTGGACGTCCAACTCTATAAATGTCCGACTTGTCTGGTGCAAGGTCTTTCTTTGCTCTGTTTTTATGCTTTGGCATTCTTTTCACATCTGATCTTGTTTGACAATGCTTAGACTTTTCTTACTGCAAAAGGTGTTTTAAAGGCTTTATGTTGCTTTATGAGTTAAAATCAAAACTGGTTATGTGAAATGGGATTAACGCTTTAGCATACTGGCTTTAAAATGCAACTGTTATAATTTCAGTGAGTTTCTTTTGTTGTTTTGTTTACTTGTTTGCTGAAGAGAACATCATCTCTGACTGTCATCTTCCCCTGATGTTGACCTTTGTCGACCTGTTAGGCTCGTCGACCCCTCACAGGAGACCCTGGAGGCGGGGCTTACCAGGGAACTGTTGGAGGAGATGGGCGTGGCTGTGCCCGTATCGGAGGAAGATCACGTGGAGTCTCGATTTGCTCCTCCAATCTCAGCCGCTCCCTCCCATCTCATCACTCACTTCTATGTGAAGAAGATGGAGGAGGAGCAGATTAAGGAGCTGGAGAAAGCGTCGGCGTCCACTGCAGTCGATCATGGCCTTGAGGTTATGCGTACTTCTTGACAGACTGGTTGCATTTGGGTCAGAAGTTTATATACACTTATCATGGGCGTGAATTTAATGACTTATTTAAATAGTTGGGTTTTTTTTTTTCAGCTTATAATTTCAATTGTTTTTAAAAAGAAAAATGGGGTGTAAAAATTTTAACTTATTGTGGAAAATTATTTTACATTTGTCCAATTCCGCCATGTTTGTTTACATATACAGAATATAGCCAGCCAAATGTAGGCCAGTCACATGACTCAAGCTTCCGTCTGTTTATTGGTGGATCCGGCCAAAAGCTTTGTTCACATTGAAGGCATACCCAATGTTCAGAATTGCATATCTGTTTATCTGGAAAACTTCCACAGTAAACATGTTCAAACATCATTATTTTATGAAGTTCAGATTACATCAGAATCAGAATAAACTTTGTCATCATTGCACCGAGATACAACGAGAACATGTACGTACAGTCATCCGAAAGATGGACGGAGTGCACGAAGCTGCTGCTATTTAGCGCGGCCTTCTTATTCTTCCTCAGAATAATATTTTTGCTTAGATGAGAAAAAGGAAGAAAACATGAGGAGAGACCGTATAAAATAAAGATATCTCACACCGTGCCCTAGACAGGCACGATTTGAGGCATCAAAAATTAATAAATACCACAGCAAAGCAACATAAATAGACTTGATACATGTACATATAGGCCGGTGAAGACACTGAATTTTAAGGGACGGTTGTAGCATAGTCCAGAGCCCCCCCAACCACCCACCCACCCACCTCTCAGCCATAGTCCAGATAAGAAGTGTTATTTATCATCAGCTCAGTTGAGGTTCCGTCACATGTCCACGGCCTTGGGGAAGGGAGGGGAGAGCGGTGGGGAGTGGTGGCACACAGGTTAGAAGATGGGCTTGTGATCGGAAAGTCGCAGGTTCAACTCCCGGTACCGTCAACATCAAAATGTGGGTGGAAACGGTGAAACACCCACACCTCCCTCCACCCTCATTCGCCCCACTCTGGGCCCCTGAGCAAGGCCCTTAACCCCCACCATCTGCTCCCTAAACAGGTCTCTCTTGAAAATGAGTTTGAATTGAATTGAAATTGAATTGAAATTGAATTGAAATTGAATTGAAATTGAATTGAAACCGAATTGATTCCTTACGCCGAAAGTCGAGCTCACAGCTTTCTCCAAGATTATTCCCAACCATTCATGGGTGCTGCCAGAAAGTTCACAGTCTTGATATTTATGATATTTAGTCCTTTATGGGGAGTGGTGGCGCAGAGGTTAGAAAGGTGGGCCTGTGATCCGAAGATTGCCGGTTCACGCCCCGGCCCCGACAACATCAAAATTTGTGGGTGGGGTAGGTGAAACACCCACACTTGCCCCCACCCTCATTCGCCCCACTCTGGGCCCATGAGCAAGGCCCTTAACCCCCACCATGTTCTCCCTAAAAAACAGGTCTCTCTTGAAAATGAGTTCTCGTGGCTCAATGAGACTACTTGTATGAATAAAGGCTAAATGAAAAAAAAAAAAATGATAACAGCCTGCTCCAGCCCTGACGCGGCTCCACATAATTCAGTCTGAGTGCTGCCAAGCTTCGACGCATCCACACAAATTTGTAGACAATCCTGATTTCACCAACCCAAACAGCAAAATCCAGTTGTCGTCATGAATCCAATTTGTTTCCGTCGAGGTAAGAGGGTCCTCCTTACCCCGACTCCTGTTGGGAGAAGTAGCTCAATTTTGTTTAGAGACCAGCTGATCCTTTGAATTAGTAGGTATGCAGGAAAAAGAAAAAGAGGCTCTTTAAGGGTTCAGAAGACAAGACAGCAAGCAGGGAAGCCGGGGGGGGGGGGGGGGGGGGGAACACGTCTGTCTTCACCGGAGCACAGAGAGAAAAAAAAATTGTTATATAGTTTGCAATGAGTACCTTTTTAATAGGCCTTGTCAAGGTAAAATGCATTTGAGAACCTGCAGCACTGCCTATTAAAATATTTCTGTAGATGAAAGGATGAGCCTGTATGACTTTACCAATTTCTTGTTTTTAAAAATGATGGGTCTTATGTCATATAATCATTACATCCTGGAACAATATCGGTTCAAATCAGTCATTAAAAACCCCAAAATGTTATTTATGTTGATGCTCGTGATGCCAGGATGTGAATCTCTGACTTCAACTGTAGCGGATTGAAGGCTCTGCTCAGCTTCACCTGTGTTTTCTCCCTCAAGGTGATGGGGATGGTCCGAGTTCCTCTCTACACCGCAAAGAGAGGAGGAGGCCTTTCCTTTTTCCTCTCACACTCCTTCATAGGCAACGCTCGCTCCCAGCTGATTAACTCTCTGTTGCGCCTCCACCTGGTCACCTCGAGGGAGTTACAGAAAGCTCTCAGGAACTCTCTGAAGATGCACGCACAGTCCGCACAGGACCTGAAGGCAGCCCTTGCGCTGACAGAGGCGTAGTGGAATCGGCTTTAAAACACGCCTGCGCAGGCTGCAGCTCGTCCCGTCGAGCACGCTCACGGACACAGTTTAACCTTCAGCTTTGCAATCATTCAAATACACAAAAACGTGCATTAGCATGCTAATGTAGAACTGGGGATTTAAATTGCTTTCTGTGCATCAAACACTTGGAGCCTTCTGAATTTCTTTGCCTTTTAAAATGGAAATAAATTGTTTTTAATTCATCATTCTCACCACTCATGTTCATTTGAAGATGTAAAACTGATAACTAGGAAAAAATTCAGCTAAATGTAATTTAATGCTGAGTTCTGACTGGCTTTGCTGAAGTAAATGAAACTGAGCTAAGCTAGCTAAAAGTAGTGAAATACTAGTAACAAAAAGTAAAAGTGGTGAAGTGTCAGATAAAATGAACAAAACCCTAGCTAAAAGCTAATATTAGCTAAATGTTAGCTATAAGTAGCGTAACACTATCTAAACTTAAAAAGAGCAAATTACTGACTAGCTAAAATGCTATATAAAAATAGGAAAGCGCTACTCAAAAGCCAGACGTAGCAAATATTAGCAACAAAAACTAAAAGTAGTAAAACGCTTGGTAAAATTTTAAAAAGCAAGAAAAAAGTTAATAGTATCAAACACATACAACAGTAAGACAAATAGCTAATTAAAAATAGCTAAATAAATGTAGAAACAGGCTAGCTAAAGGCTAAAAATAGCAATGGTCTCACTAATTGTAGCAAAAGATTGGTTAAATTTATCAGAACATTTTTCTTTTAGCTAAGATGAGCAATACCAGATTTAGCATTAACAGTAGTAGACCTGATATGAGCTGCATTAGCAATAACATTAGTTAAGTTCGCATTAGTAGAACCATCGTTAGCATTTTTTGATTTAGCATTAGCGTATAGTTGCAGTAGCAGAATTAGCATTAGCAGTAGAATTAGCAGGAGAATGCTAAAATAGTTTTATGTTTGGGGCAGTATGGTGGCTCGGTTGGTAGAGCTGTTACCTCTCAGCAAGAAGGTTGCTGGTTCAAATCCCTGCCAGGGTCCTTTCTGGGTGGAGTTTGCATGTTCTTTCCGTGCATGCGTGGGTTTTCTCCGGGTACTCCGGTTTCCTCCCACAGACCAAAAACATGCATGTTAGGCTGATTGGTAACTCTAAATTGTCCCTAGGTGTGAGTGAGAGAGTGAATGGTTGTCTTGTTTGTCTCTATGTGTCCCTGTGATGGACTGGAGACCTGTCCAGGGTGTCCCCCGCCTCTCACACAGTGACTGCTGGACATGGACACCAGTGACCCCCGCGACCCGGAAAGGAAGAAGCAGGTAAAAGATGATGGATGTTACGTTTGTTTGTTTGTTTGTCATATGCAGGTTCAACAAGGTCAACAATGCAATGAAATGTTCAGGATGAGAAAAAACTATTGGACTTGCTAAAAAAAATAAAACAAACTAAAGTATGCAATAAAGGTACAAAATAAAGTATCAAAAAGTGAAAAAGAAAGATAGCTAGATTTGATAATTTCAAATAGAGCTTTATTTTGAAGGATTTGAAGCAATCTCATATTTGAGAATATTTTGTAAACACTAATTTAAAATGTATAAAAGCTACAAAAACTAAAAGTCATAGCACCCATCTCTTGAACAATTAAAAACCCACAAACTATGCATAAGTATTAATGCTAATTAAACATATGGTGGGGGGGGGGGGGGGGCTTGGGAAAATTATTGTGAAAGCTGACTCATCATGCACACAATAATTACTCCCATGTCAAATCTTTTAAGTGTTTTAATTATACAATAATGGTTACATTCAGAATGTTTGAACAGGAAGTTTGACTCAAAATAGCAGCAGGTTTAAAAACGCAACAACAAAAAAAACAGACGGAAAGACGAACACTGAAGTTGCAGGCCTGTTTTACCCTAAAAGGTGCTGCACTGGCAACGCTGTGGTTTTCTGTATATGACAGGATCAAAGGGGCACGATCACTATTTTCTGTTTTTTGTTCTCTAGTTTTTTGGTGTTTGTTTTTTTTCCAGCCACATGTTCAAGTCTTTGTCTTTGAGCTGCTTCCATTCTTCACTTATGAAGTTACGGCACAGCTTGAACCCGAGGATTGATTATGTCCACGACATACCAGAAAGCCTGCAGGCATTTTATTCTGTTTAAGTGTACCCTCGGTGCACGTAACGGCGCCTGCAGCCGACGTTAGCAGCCTCCGTTCCAGACAGTATCGCTGGCAGACGGGATGCTGCCAAATATTTTTGATACCTATTGTAATGAAAGTGCATGCTCCGTCCTCGGCTGTCTGCACACAGGCTGCCGGAGTACACCAAAACACCAAACCGATGGCACGGCAGGTTCACTACGCCGCATGCAGTGCAATAAATCTACTTCAGATTGGATACAGGGTGGATAAAAGATGGAGGAAAGGGATGAAAGATGCCTTTTTATTTTTTGCCCCTCTCAGCTTTATAATGTAATCATGGAGACAGTGCAGAAGAACAGGTGGATCTATTGATAAGAAGCAGATCGACGCCTCGTTGAGCATGAATTCATGCAATTAGAAATGCAGGTTGAATTAACTAGTAAGGTACAGTGTCATCTGCAGTCGTCTCAATCAGTGTCGTTTCTTTCTCACAGCCATCAGAAGATGAAAAAGGAAGACGGGAAGCCAAGGAGACGGGCACACGAAACACCACGTCTGTGGTTGGTTTTATGTGATGGTGTCAGTTTTGTTTGTTTCACTGTGCGCCTCCTCGAAGCGGCAGGGTTTGCATCTTGCATGCGATCTGGTGACAAGAAAAGGATGCTGTCGTGTGATAACGCAAGGTCGTCAGAAACATGTTTAGAAGCAGAGAAGCAAGGATGGAGGAAGAGCGGTGCAGGCGAGGCATGGGATGGATGGATGGATGCGCAGGGTGAGAGTGGATGCTGAGGGGAAAAGATGGTATATTCATAGCAGCAGTGGTATTTATAGCCGCCTGGAGAGGAGAGAGCTGGGGGGCGTGGCTTGTGCTGGGGCTTTCTCACTGCTGCGTATGGCAGGGAGGGAAGGGGAGGAGAGAAGCATCTCTGGCGTGAGTGGAGAGTCTATCTGGCATATTTTGAAAGAAGAGGGGGAGGGCCGTGTGTGTGTGTGTGTGTATGTGTGTGTGAGAGAAGAGTATTGAGCTGAGAGAAATCTGTCAGAGTCATACACACTGCTCTATGTGTGAGTGTGTGATAGAGAGATCCGGAGGATGAGAAGAAAAGAGCTGAGGGACAGATAAAACGAGAAAGAGGAGCACCACAGAGTGAGGTATGTACAGCTGTCATGCTGCTCTTCAACCTCATAACAACCTGTGTGTGTGTTAACAGTGTGTGTTTATTGTAGAGTATTTTAAACAGACAATGCTCACTTTGTGCTTGTAGACTGTTTGCCAATTATGTAATGTGTGTGTGTGTGTGTGTGTGCAGCATTTTCAGGGTTGATGCTGTGCGTGTGTTTATGTGTATTTTATCCTGGGGTGTTTTTTTTTTTAGTCCATTGTGTGAAGCTCTGCTCCCAGTTGCGTTGACCGTATGGTCTTTATTTACAGCCGCTGCAAACAGAACTCATCCCTCCAACTGTTGTTCTAGTTGTGGAGCCTCCAACCCGTCCCGGCGCTCGTCAGCCGGGCTTATAAAGGACACGGACGAGCATAAACAAGCATCTGAAATGCATCTGCAGAGCTGCCTTTTCCAGTGCAACAGTAAAAAGAACTGGTGATTAAAGATGTAGCAATATTTGAAGCATTGCACATCACCCAGCTTTATCATCCTCTGTTGAGAAATGACCCTCCAAAAAAATCTAATTTACGTGCAGTTTCATACGATTTGGGGATATTTTGTCTGTTGGCACTTAGATTTTGTGTTGTGAATGACCTTCAGTAACTACCACACCAAATTTTAGCTCAACAGCTCTAAAACTGACTCAGTTGTGGCCCATTTTTGATTAGCTGTGGTGGCCATCTTGAAATGAGTTGAGTCCAAAAGTTGATCCACTGTAGAGGTACGTTCAATGATTATTTCCTGAGAGCTTTATTGAAATCTGTTCGGTGGTTCGTGAGATATTTTGCTAACAGACGAACAAGGTTGACTCCCAATAAGAAAGCGTTGCACAATCTCATCCGCTCATACGTACTCAACTGTAGCTCAATATCTGTAAAACTGAGTTGAAGCCATTTCTGTGGTCGGTTGTCTGTGGCGACCATCTCGATGTGGGTTAATTTTAAAGATTTAAACATTTACTCAGATTGTTCGTCTTAAACGTTAAAGGCTCCCACAGTTCTGTTTCTGTCGTACTGTTTTTTTTTCCAAGAAGGATGTGTGTTTCCTGTGAATTTCATCTACATTTGCTGAATCGCCCGATTTGTAACTTATTCCCTTTATCCCGTGTAGCGGTTTGACTGAGCTGCGGTGGTGACTTCTGTGACACAACGGGAACTCGGTATGATTTATTTTAGCTTCAAGTTTAAATCTGTAGTCGTGTTTGCAACACACATTTTACCAGAAGTGAAAGTTCCCCTCGGCGCATCGAACCGTTTGAGAATCGTTCAGTTGTGAATGACTCGTCAGGAACTGGGACGTAAAGCTGTCGGTTAAAAGCAGAGGCATGAAAGTGCTGAATAAAGAGCGGCTGTGTCAAAAGTACATAATTTATGTGTGAGATTCACTCATCCTGTGACGCTGCTAGAATGAGAACGAATATGAGTGAGCTGAACCGAACTACGGTAATTCTGTTGTTTGAGGAAGTTTCGGCGTTGGAGCAGAAGCTGAGGTTTGATCTGCTTCTGAAGGGCAGACTTTCACTTTGCAACACCTTCTCGTTTCCTTTTTCCATTTTTGTCCCTCTACTAGGACTGACAAGTCTGCGTTTTATAAACATCACCTGTAAATTATCTTCTGCAGCAAAACGTCCAGCATGGCATGAAAACAGTGGAAAGATTTGCAGATCTTTCTTTTTCCAGTTCTTTCTCCACAAGTCACAATCTAAAACCTCCTTTATGTCCTGTGGCAGATTTAGGGCTTTGCTTGAATTAGATGGACTTTTTTTGTGTATACAGTATACATTTAAAGCCCACTGCTAAAAGTTGAAGGTATACATTAATGTGTTTGTGTCCATCCATCCATTATCTTCTGCTTGTTCCAAAGTCTGGTCGCCGGGGCAGCAGCTTGATCAGGGAGGTCCAGAATCTTGTTCCACAGCCACATCTTCCATTTCTTCTGGGAAGACTCCAAGGCGTTCCCAGGCCAACCTCGAGACATAGTCTTGATCGTGTCCTGGGTCTTCCCCGAGGTCTCCTCCCAGTCAGACATGCCTGAATCATCCCCCTAGGGAGGCACCCAGGAAGCATCTACCAGATGCCCGAACCACCTCAACTGGCTCCTCTCGATGTGGAGGAGCAGCGGTTCTACTCCGAGTCTCTCCCGGATAACTGAACTTCTCATCGTATCTCTAAGGGAGAGCCCAGCCACCCTGCAGGGGAAACTCATTTCAACCACCTGTATCCACAATCTCATTCTTTTGGTCACTACCCAGAGCTCATGACCATAGATGAGGGTAGGAACGTAGACTGACCAGTAAACAGAGCTGCGCCTCACAGCTCAGCTCCCTCTTCACCACAACAGACCGACACCGAGTCTGCAACACTGCAGACGCTGCACCAATCCGTCTGTTAATTTCACGCTCCATTCTTCCCTCACTCGTGAACAAAACACAAAGATACTTGAACTCCTCCACTTGAGGCAGAACCTCACCCTCGACCCGAAGAGAGCAATCCACCCTTTTCTGATTGAGGGCCACGGCCTCAGATTTGGAGGTGTTGATTCTTATCCCAGCCGCTTCACACTCGGCTGCGAACCGCTCCAGTGAGAGCTGGAGATCACGGCACGATGGCGCCAACAAGACCACATCATCTGCAAACAGCAAAGATGGAATCCTGCGACCACTGACCTGGAATCCATCCACCCCTGGCTGCACTGAGAAATTCTGTCCATAAAAGTTATGAACAGAATCGTGACAATGGGCAGCCCTGGCTGAGTCCAACTCTTTCCTGAAGGGGTCTGACTTACCATCGGCAATGCGAACCAAATTCTCGTGCCGCTTGGCTTGTATAAGGACCGAACAATCCCATACTCGTGGATCATCCCCAACAGTGAACCTCGAGGAACACAGTCGAAACCTTTCTCCAAGTCCACAAAACACATGTAGACTGGATGGGCAAACTCCCATGACAACTCGAGGACTCTAGTGAGGGTAAAGAGCTGGTCCAGTGTTCCATAGCCAGGACGGAACCGGCATTGTGCCTCCTGGATCTGAGGTTCAACCAACGATCTAACTCGCTTCTCTCTCTCGCCCCTCGTGTTTGTGTCTGTTAGCAAAAGATCTCATGACCCCCTGGGCAGATTTAATAAAACTTGCAGAAAGTAATCATTGGATGTGTGTCTACAAGCTAATTTAAGATGGCCGCCACAGCCAACTGACCTCACAAAGCACAAAAATAGCTGTTCTAGTCGTCTAGATAATGAGCTAAGATTTGGTGTGGTAGTAGCTGAGACTGATCCCCAACACATAACTTGAACTCTAAAGCCCCATATCCACGGGGCCTTTTGGGGCTCCTATGTAACTAGTTCGGGCCGATTGCGTGGTTTATCCACAGTGCCTTCAGCAGTGGAACTCACCCCATTTTTGGGACCTACTTCTCTGAGGTCCCAGGTCTGGTTCTTGTTGGGTCTAGATATGACATCAGCGCACTGTAGGTCACTGATTGGTCAGGGGGCGTATTCATTGGTGGAGGGCGGAGATCAAGGAGGTCATCCATTTTGGTTGTGTGTTGTTTTCCGGCTCTTCTTCTTCTCATACATGTTAGTGGTGCTTAGAAAAGAGCTTAATGTAGCATTAGCGCCACCAGCTGGTAAGGTACGTTGATATTAATAATCCACCCACTAAACGGGAACTATGGGCACTGCAGAGACAGAAAAAAAGAGGTCCCACCAGAACCGGACACAACAGGGTCCAACAAGAACCGGCTCTATGGATAAGGGGCTTTACATGGTGGGAAAGATATTTCTATTTTAGTCAACTCTGTCTATTAGCATGAACCACTGGACATATTTTAATGAAACTTTCAGGGAATAATTACTGGATGTACTTGTACTGCTGAGTGACTTCTAGAACTCATCTAATTTAAAATAGCTAATTGCTAAATGACTTTAAAAAACACAAAAACGTCTATAACTCTGTCACTTTTTTAGATAATGAGCTAAAATTGGGTGTGGTAGTAGCTGAGATTCATCCTCTACAGAAAGTGAATTGTGCATAACGTTATTTTCATCATTTCACAATGTAAGATGATTTTAGTGTTAAACACGGGAAGTGCAATCTGCATTGAACGCCAGTCTTAATACATAATGTATCACTTTGAAACCTCCATGTTTGATTTTCCGTGTTGCGTTATGCAACCAGCCGTCCCCGTGGTGTTTTGGCGGTGACGAGAGGATTAGGCTGCAGCTACAAGCGTGCAGGTACGCAGTGAGTCTCTGTGAGAGTAATAACTTGCGGTGGCATTCCGTTATACCGTTTCCTGTTTGCTGCAGCAGTTTAAAGACACAAAGCGAGAACGTTCTCAATGAACGTGGAGGGTGAAAACAGTTTCAGGGGGCTCTGCTTGTTGCAGGTGGACGCTTGAGGATCCCAAGGATTCACAGTCAGTGGCTCTAATTAATGTTTTACTAACAAAGAGCAGATGGATGCAGAGATTTGCTAATGAAAGGTTATGTAAAAAGAAAGTACCCGTTTACGTACATTTCATGGCAATCCAGTTCACTTCATTTAAAACCCGTTTTCACGCAAATTATTTTGTACTAGATACCCTTTTGCAACAAAATGTTTTTAAAACTGGAAACAAATAGGTTGTATTAATATATTTGCTTTGGTGTAATTCATAGAAGTCTAGAGATTTCTAGATCATAAAAGCTTAAAAAAACGATTTAGCCTGAAAACTTTGTCGGCCGTCACAGATCTCGGTGATTTTCCCTTCAACATGCTCGCCTCGTCCGAGCCCCGAGTGTGTTTACAAGAGGCGCTCGGGCTCGCCCTTCAGGCTGACAGATTGTCTCACCTGATCCAACCTGACTCAGTGATGGCGCGCGGCTGTCTGCACAGATTAGCATAAGATCAAGACATCCTCGTTCATTCTGTGACTGCAGATTCAGCACTCGCACTAAAGTTTATCTTTTAGTCGTTTGCCATCTAACACCACCGAAGAGCTACTGGGTTCTGTTCTAGCCATAAAAATACCAAAACGCTCAGCTTGGTGCTACAAGTTTTGTTTTTTTCAAACTTTCAAAATATTTATCTTTATTTCAGTTCAATTCAGTTGATTTATATAGCGCCAAGTCACAACAGAAGTTGTCTCAGGACACGGTACAGAAACATTCAGATACATTATAAATGGCAGTTGGTAAAAGTTCTCTGTCTAAAGAAGCAGCAGGTTGTGTTGAGTCTTGAGCGAGCACAAAGGAGACAGTGGAAAGAAAAATTCCCTTTTAACCGGAAGAAATCTCCAGCAGGACCAGGCTCAGGACGAGCGGCCATCTGCTTCGACTGGCTGGGTTCGAGAGGACAGGAAGGAGAAACGAACACAGAGGCAGGTCCAGGAGAACTTTCTATAGGAGGAAAGACCACAAAACACGTTAAGGTAGAAATAATTACAGAAACAAACAGGAAGAGTAAGTAAAGATGGCAGCAGAGTGAGGAAATGAGATCAATTTGTCCTCCAGCAGTCTAAGCCTATAGCAGCATAACTAAGGGATAGCTCAGGAAACCCAAGCCAACCCTAACTATAGGATTTATCAAAAACAAGACTTAAGCCCGGTCTTAAAACTGGACAATGTGTCAGTCTCACAGACAGGAACCACAAGAGAGGAGCCTGATAACTGAAAGCTCTGCCTCCCATTCTGCTTTTGGAACCACAAGTAAACCTGCAGTCTTGAGTGCGAAGTGCTGTGTTGTAAAATATATTTCCATATATTAGAAACACAATGGGATCCCTTCAGTCCCTTCGAAAACGTGATTCACTTTGAAATCTGGTTCAGCTTCTTTTAGTCTTTAGCTTTTTCTGGTTTCAGCTTTCATCTGCTTTTTTAATATTTTTAGCATTTAGCTAGCCTTTTGCTACTTTAGAATTCAGTTACCCTTGTTCTACTTAAACTTTCAGCAACCTTTCTATTTATTTTTTAGTGCTTTGCCACATTGAGCTTTTCGATAGCTTTTTGCTCATTTTAGTTTGCTACTTTGAGTATTTAACCACCTTTGTGATGCTCTAAGCAAACATTTTGCTGCATTTGACTTCTGGATAGTTTTTAAATCTACTTTGAGCTTCTAGGTAGCCTTTTGTTGGTTTTAGATATCCTTTTCATATTATTCATTTAGCTTAAAGCTAGCCTTTTGCTCATTTAAGCTTGGATTTTGCTACTTTGAGTGTTTAGCCAGCTTTTACTTTTTGTTAGTTTTTTGCTACTTTTAGCTTCTAGGTAGCCTTTTGATACTTTTAGCTAGCCCTTTGATAAATTTAGTTTAATGTTAGCATTTTGCTACTTTCAGCTTCTAATTAGGGTTTTACAGTTGGTTATCTTTTCAATGTTTTTAGCTAGTGTTTGTATACTATTAGCTTATAAGTACCCTTTTGCTTCATTTACTCTTTTAGCCTTTCACTACTTTAACTTTTAGCTATACGTTTATTACTTTAGCTTTCAGCTAGACTTTAGCCGCTTTTAGCAAGTTTTTTTCCTACATTTAGCATTTAACCAGCCCCTTGCTGCTTGCTAGCAGCTTCTTTTAGCTTCAGCTTCTCCAGCTGTCGTTCAGCTCTCGGCGTTCACGCTACATTTTCTGAAGGTGAAATTTTTGGAACATCTCGGAGCTCGTTTTTAACTTCTTCTCTGGGGAAGGTCGTACACAAACACCTGTTCATGTCGTCAGCGTTCGGCAGAAACAACTTTCCCAAAAGTGTGTCTTGGTTTCAGGAAGTGAGCTCATCTGGCACACGTTTCCCTCCTTTATTTCACACGCACGGCTCGTGGAGAGCAGCTGCAGGGAGGTGGCAGAGCTGGAACGAACTGGAGAAGTTTTCTGCAGAAGCCACAGCAGAAGATTCTGTGACTGTAAACAAGGCAGCGTGTTGTTTGGTGTCAGGAAATCCCCTCACACTATCAGGACAACATCTAACACAAAGTCTTTTTTGTGTTCCTTCATCTTTCCCCTTCTTTCCAAGAAACTGGTAGAAAATGCAGTGGAAATAACGGCACATTACTGTAATTCATGCAGTTATCCTTGTCAGTTTAATTTATACTCACTATGTGTACCACATGACCTCCTTCTTTCAGTAACCATGACTTCAAGTATGAAACGCCGTTCCCCCTACAGTCATCATTTCTCTGTCCTGGCTGCCCTTTCAGCTTCTCAAAGCTGCTTTTTCCTCTCTCTGTGTCTCTTACAGCTCCCCCTGCGCTTTTTTTTTTTTTCTCAGATCAATTACATTCGCTTTGTTCTACGCAGATTAAGGTCATGTGCTGATAAGACCCTCCAGAGACTTTGGAGGCCTCACAATCTCATTTGTGGAAATCTTCTGAAGCTCCTTCTGCGTTCACTCGTTACTTCGTCTGGAGCCGTCACCGAAACGTGTCTGAATCGCAGCCACAGTGCAGGAGGGAGTGAGCGTACGCATCTGAAGGCCTCAGCTATGATGGCATGGTTGACACGTTAAACCGTCTTCTAATTTATTGTTCGCTCTTTTTTTTATTTGCTCCCTCGTGGATAAGTTTTCTGACAGACCACTCGTGCCTTTCCAAATGCTTTAGGCTGATTGAGGGGCCGTGTTTCCTGTGAAAGCAGTCCATCCTGACACCCGCTGCACAACTCGGAAACCTGTTGAGAAACAGACAGGAAGTGTGACGTCGTCGTGCATTTTCTAGGGTACGAAATTAGGTTTTTGCTTGTGTGTTGATCTTTAAATCGAGATTCGATGAAAACAAGTTTTCACTCATGTTGTAAAGAAGTTCTCAAGTAGTGGTAGATGTTCCGACTCAAAACATCTTGGATCTCAAACTTTAGCCTTTCCATACTGCAGCTCATAAAACTAGCTCCGCCCTTTAATATAACTCCGGAGATTGTAATTACCTTTGGTTGCCTTTATGCGTTCATTGGTTGGTGTGGTGGATGGGCGTAGTTTTTGGATCACATGGTGTATGTAGTGATGTTAAGATCACCTGTTTGCTCACCTGGTGAGTTAATGAGTGGGTGATGGGGGAAGTCTACATTTTTGGTGACCACTTTTACCTTTTACGCATTGGAATTTTTGCCTTTAATCTCTGCTGGAACCTGTGGATTTGTTTCTGCTATGGGATATAAATGAGTCACGGGTGTTTTGCCTTGGAATATAAAGAACTATACGTCAATAAAGGAGTCTCAACTGCCGCTTGGGTTTATGTCTTGAACAACACGTCAACGCTCGGCGACTCTGTTTGTTTGACAGTCACCAGTAGTTGGCGTTAGATTAAAATAGTCAATTTGAGACCCATTGTCTTGTAACTATACTGTAAAAAAAACACAAGAAAACCAGAGTTTTACTTGGTGCTAATCCTGTGGGCGGATAAGAAAACAGTATACTGTGGTAGATACGAGTGATTGAGAGTATGGAAAGACGTATGTAGTGAATTTACTGTAATGAATGAATCTACCTGGATTACCGCAGTAGACCAGGAAACCAACAGCAGATGCTCAAAAAACAAAACTATGTCCGTTTTGGGAGAGAAAAAGACTTTACTGCACGCAGCCGCGAACTTTACGCAGAACAGCCATGGTGCATTCAAAAACGTAGGAATCAAGAAATTCAGAAAGAAAACAAGCTACAGTCAAAGAGAACTTAGCTCACCAAGCAAACTAACCACATATAAACAAAGTGGGCTTTCTAACGAGAATCATATAAAAATCATTACTGTGGCCCACTTATGATGCTTATGCCTCCAGCCGGCCTTGAGCACACATCACAGCGCCAAGCCGGTCATTTTGATGTATCATTTGTGGGGTTACACATTGTGGTTCAGGCTGCATTAAAGTTGACGGAAGATTAAGATATAAAGTTAAGAAACCCTTGTCAGGTGGATAATAATAGGTGGCTGCATTACTAGGAAAAATGAAAATCCTTTCTTGTACATTTTGGGAGGTATTTACCATTTCCTTTCAGGGCATCCCCAACCACCACCCTTGAGGCAGCGTATGTCCTTATCCCTGCTGTTATTCGTCACCTCTTCATCTCCTCACCCCCCTCCATCTTTGATTCTTCCTCACACATCCCCATCTCCCTGCGTTCTTCTCCCCTCTCATTAAATCTCTCTGGTGTCTGTTTCTTGTCACCTTGACCTTATTTGCCCTCTCCTCCTGAGTCTTTCTTTGCTTCATTCGGATCTGAATAATTTCACCTCTCAAGCTTCTTCTTCTTCTCTCTAACCACTTTCTCTCTCTCTCTCTCTTTTTTATTTTTTATTTTTTTACCTCACAGGCCGGTTCTGCCTTGCGCACCAGGACCCCGTTGGATTTCATGGACATACTGACCCATCCGGCGTCCCCGCAGAGATCTGACAATCGACTGATGCCGGAGCGCCGCACGCAGCTGTAGAGAAGAAGGGGGTCGGGGTGAAAGGTTGCGGACTGCAGAGCTCAGAAGTGGGGGCTTTGGGAAGGAAGGTCAAAGGTCGAGCGGTCAAAGATGATGACTTCACACGGAAAGCTGAGGAAGGAGAAGGGGAGCCTGGCCGAGTACGAATCACAGATGAAGGGTGAGAGTCTGCGGCAGGCGCTTGTTTCTGCGCACGTCTTTTTGTCTACAAGCGCAAACATGAGTGCACGAGAGACAACACATGCACAGTGATGCGAGAACGGGTGTAGTTCCTCCGCAGTAACGCATCCGTGCGCTCAGAAATGAAGACGGCAAAAGATTTTAACATAATCGCGTGTGCCTTCATGTGTTTGTTTGTCTGTTAGCAAAATATCACACAAACCACTAAACTGATTACAATGAATCGTTCACAAATCAATCAATAGATGTATTTGTACAACTCGTTAACTTTTGAAGTTGGTTCAAGTCAGGGTTAGCCCCACAGCTAACCCACCTTAGCAAACACAAAAATGTCCATAACTTGGTCGGTTTTACAGATACTGAGCTAATATTTGGTGCGGTTGTAGCTGATAACGACTTGTGCAAAATCTTTATTTAAGACTTAACGGTTGTAGTTAAACCTGCTTGTCTGTTAGCAAAATATCTCTTGAACCAGACGACAGATTTGAATGAAACCATCAGAAAGCAGTCGGGTGTCCATCCCCAGCTCTTGACTTACGGAGTCAACTTAACCAAGATGGCTGCCACAGCTAGTCCGCTTTCGCAAGCACAGAAATGGCTTCAAATGAAACAAGTTTACAGAGATATAGCTCATATTTGACATGGTAGTAGCTGAGAGTCATCCCCATCACATGTTTTCATCGCTGACACGTCAGGCGAAATCTTCACTTAAATTCTGGCACACGAGGAATGCTAGGTTCTTTTAATTTGACCTGAAACTCTTCCAGATCTGTAAACATGGTCATATCTGGCAACATGCAGATTTCACATGACAGCAGTGTGTGTGTGTGTGTGTGTGTGTGTGTGTGTGTGTGTGTGTCCAGTGTGTTTTGGAGCATGCACGTTATGGCTGCTTCTCTGTACTGTACTATAAGGGTATATTTATAGCAAGTATTAGTGATGTTGTCTCCTCACATCCAGTCAGCCCGGGGCGGTGCACTGAAACAAAAAAAGGCAGGGAAAAGGATTAAAGAGGGGGAAGATGGAGGAGGATGAGGGAAGAATAGAGTGAGAAAAGGAGGGATGGAGAGGTGAGAGAGCAACGTGTTGTTTTAGAGAGCGATGTTTGTATTAACCTTTTCAAATCAAAGTGCAGCTCCAGGGACACGGCGCTGTTGAATTTGCTGTATTTGCTTACAAGCCTGTGTATCATATCATGTTCTGTGGGATTACAACAAGTGAGCTGTGTGGGCCGATCCATATTTTACTGTCGGAGCGCTCCGCAACGCAAAGACAGTCGCACCTCGATTAAATCCTGCCAGCTGATTAAAACCCTTCAGTTATTGTTGAATCAGAGAATAATAACTGTAAAGGGTGTTATAACGGCATCCTTTAGTAGGGATGGGATAAAATATCAGTAGAACAGGATGCTGTTGTACAAGTATTGATAATTTAATTATTAAAATAAGGCACTGCTTAAAGATTTTTATCTTGTCACTGTTTTCTAAAGGCTTGAATTTTTGCTCTTATGATAAATTAAAAACAGCTGAGGCCGATCAAAGTGCTTTATAAACATTGCAATCTATGAAATTAAACATAAAAAAATGTTATCTTGAACTATACCTGACCACAGTTTCAGGTAGATAGGACCCGAGAATGCAGACTGGCAAGAAGAGCTAAAAAAACAACAACAAAAAAAACAGAAAACTTTATTTAAATGAAGCAAAACGCTGATGAGGCAGAAATAAATTTACAAAATACTCGAGGAGAAATTCACAGAGGAGCAACTACAAGGAGGCACGAGGAGGACTGGACGTGGCATGAAAGCCAAAACTGCTTGACAGAAGGAGTATGTGGACTGGGGCTGATGGGAAGAGTGTCATGGAACCAGGAACAGGTGTAACTGAGCGAGGCAGGAGATTTTTGATTGATTTATTTATTTTTTTACTTTACAGACCATCCATCCATTCTCTTTTACCAGCTTCTTTCATTTTGGGTCACGGGGGTCGCCGGTGCCCATGTCCAGCAATCACTGTGCGAGGGGCGGGGTACACCCCGGACAAGTCGCAAGTCCACTTTACAGACCAGTTAAAATAAATTTACCATGCCCCATTCAGCAAAATACGCTACACATAGTGCTCCTTGCTTCAGCGGTGATGAATGTCAAAAGTGAAACTTAAGGTCATGACTTGAAAGTAGTCTTCATGCGCACTCTGCTGGATAAATTGTACAATGACAGCTGGTTCCCAGCATTTTAGTGGTGAAAATTAGAAGTTTATATCGGCGTATAATAGGACAGTTATCACCGATACTGATCGTACCCAAATGTCTATATCAGCCTCACCGATATATCAGTTGGGCTCTAGTGAAAACTGACCATGCCTTTTTTACTGTTCGTTTGTTCCAAATTTCAGACCAGAGCTGCTGTTTTACATCGATTATTTAGTAGCAGCATGAACTATTTAGCAGTATAAAGTGCTTTTGATGTACACTAGCCAATTGTAAACTGCTGGGTTTTAACTTTCCCTCCCATCCTGAATATTTCCTGAATATTTCCTGAATATTTCCTGTTTTTGCATGTGTCTGTATTCATCCGGACTTTTGAATCGGTGTTTTATGTAACCGGCTCCCTGTCTGTCTCTTTGTCTGCCTGACGTTTCAGACCTGCGGGCCCAGCTGACGGACCAGATCAAGATTCTGGACTCTCAGGTGGAGGTGAAACAGCAGCAGCTCTCGGACTTGTCTGAGTTTCTCCGGCGACGGGGCGACATCGAGATGGAGTACGCCCGGGCCCTCGAGAAACTGACGGAGAGGTTCACTCACAAGACTAAAAAGTAAGGCTGTCTGTCTGCGGCGTCTGTTGTGCGTCATCGTGTCGTAATCAAGCGTTTCTGTCATCGCTCTGCAGGAAGGAGCAGTGGGGTCAGTCTGTGTGTCAGGTCTGGTCCGTTCTGCTGACTCAGACCCGTCTGGAGAGCCGAGAACACGCGGCGCTGGGAGACACCTGCTGCAACACGCTCACTCAAAGCCTAGTGCACTGCACAGAGGACACGCATCGCTTGCACAAAAAGGTCAGAGGGCGTTTGATAGAAACATGTCGACACGCCGAGAGATTATACAAACCCTCCGTCACTGCTCAAGTGATGACTTTAAACACCACGTCTTGTTTTAACACTCATTGTTAGGTTTAGGTTCGTACGTCGACTCTCTGTACGGTAAAATAACAAAGAAACGGTTTTACTCTTGAAGTAGGATCATTTATTTTATTTATATTAGTTACACTAAAATGATCCAAAAAGTACAGTTAAAAAAAAAAAACAATGCACTTGTTTAGATTTTTGTTAGACACTATCAAGCAGAGCTCTTCAAACATTTACGTAACCGGTAATGTAAAGTACCGTAATTTCTGGACTATAAGCCGCTACTTTCTTCACAGGCTTTGAACACCGCGGCTTATACAATGTTGCAGCTAATTCTTGGGTTTATTTTTTATTTTAGATGGGCTAACAAACTTCACGCCGCCAAAACATTTAGCCTCGTCACACCCGGGGGCTCACATAGCTGCCCAATACACGTCTCCTTTGGGGGGTGGGTCCTCATGGCTCAATGAGACTACCTGCATAAATAAAGGTTAAAAAAAAAAAAATCTGACCAATGAAATTCCCGGTCACAGTCGAACCAATGAAACGGGGAGGGGGTATTCTCGCAGAGCAACTTTTGCTCAAGTCTGCCAGTGGATCCTGACAGCTGAGCAGGACAACACAAGCTTGTGCAGGAAGAAGATCAAGATGGTGATCAGTGACTTCCTGGTAGGCTACTGCAGTGTTTCCCCTACCATTATACAAGCAGGGCGCCCCACCCTGTCAATGGAACCGAACGCCCTGCCTACCGAACCGAACCTCCCCCCCCCCATCCACAACTGACGTAGCACTAAGCTAGCGGCGCGCAATACAGATGTGTTAGCTAAAAAGCTAGAGGTAGCGCTCCGTTTCACTTACACCGAGCTGTCTCCCAACCCCCTCCCTCCCCCGCTCGATAACTGTCGGTACGAACGGCACGTAACACAGACATGTCCGGGTCCTCCCCGCCCCCCCCCCCCCCCCGACAAAAGTCATAGAAGAGATGAGCACCCCGCCAAGGCAAGTAATGTAGAGGAAACACTGCACTGTATTTTGTATTTTATTTTACCAGCTGTGTTACAGGTACTGTTCAGAAAAAAATAATCTACTGCACGTATTTGTATACGTTATAGGTACATATTTAATTTAAAGTTGTTTTTTAATTTCTGTGTAAATATCTCATTATAACGTGGACCAGCGGCTTATAAAGTGCAGCCTATATATGTACAAATTGTTATTATTTTTAATTTAGTGGGTGCAGCTTATATTCGGGCGTGCTCAATAGTCTGGAAATTATGGTAATAATCTACAGAAGTCATTCTAAAAAAGTTAAGTCAGGACCTCAGGACGTTCAAAAAACAAACAAACAAACAAAAATTGTAGAAACGCTTCGTCTTT